GAAGATCACGGAAATCTGAAGCGTCATGTGCACCTTGGGTTCTACCTTCTTCTAATGGCTTTTTCGGGTGTGCTTTTATTAACTCACTGTCGTACTGATCTCTGTCAACAGATGCCTCTTGTGGATTCAGTAAAGTTCGATGATTTGGAATACAACAGTTGCTTCTGGCGTGGAGCATGTGCACGGAATGAAGAACTTGCCCATATTCTCCGTTTACCGCCACAGAATGACAATGTGTCCGCTTTGTGGTCTCCCTTGATTTGAGCGGGTAAAATCCATCAATACAAATTCATGGTTCTTTCTTGATCATCTGTACATTTTATTTTTTCGATAACAATATCATCTTATAGTGGCCATACTTTGTGCACATTTAATCATGCATTCTACATGCTGCCCGAACTTTATCGTGATCACGGTAAAGCCTATTTTATTCTATCGGCAAGTCGATTTGGTACTGTTTTGTTGGATTTCGTTGTATACAACTAAGAAAAATAATGCTTACTTTGAAATATACATTGTTATTATTACTTTTATTTGTATACGATAAATTTCCTCAACTAGAAAACTGTACCGATTAATTTTTGCCGATAGAGTAAAATATACCTATGAAATACAAAAGTTTCGAAAATCAATTTTCTAAACTAGAACGAACTGAAGAGCTACTGAAATTATGATTAATCTCATATAGCAACTGCTTTCAATTGCTTTGTGTTCTTTAATCAACGGTTTATGTTTCTGGGCCCAGTCGAAGAATTTCAGTCATGGGACCGTGTGGTGACCCTGGCCTACAAGATGCATACCACGGAGAGACAAGTCACAGTTTTCAGACAAGCTTCAAGCCTTCCAGGTGATGTCAGAAATGCGCGTACATGTAACAGCTTCCGAACTGCAGACCATAGGTGGATTGTATCAACCAATCAGAAACCGTGTGGCCGAAACAGAAGCTGAACAACACCAGAAATATTAGCACGCGATTGGCGGAGGCTTGGATGACCACAGAGCTTGTTTTGTACATATTACTTAATCCCCTGATTCCTTTCAATAAACGAACTACTATACCTGTAGCCTTTTCTGCTCTTCTCCGTTACGTGGGATATTGCGTGCAAGTACCAGTGTGATCTAGCGCTTACGTTGCGTCCGTGTTTGCTAGTCCGTGATTTCTAATTCGTAATTCGTACTTCGTGATCAGTGCATAGTACAATTACTACAGACCAACATTTCAGAAAACCAAATGCTTTAACTGAAATGGAAACAAAATCTCATCAAAACAAAGTTTCACGGGAACCTGAGGCTTATCACTGGGAAATCCTGCCAACAAGGAACCAAGTTTGGTTACATAGATTTTTGAGCGGAATGGAATCCATAAATTAAAGGGATCATTCAAAATGTACCCTACATAAGTGAAACCAGAAAGCAGTTAGTGTACAACAACGATATAGTCTTTTTTAGGTCTTTTTCACAAAGATTTACCTGTAAAGGATATATCTGTTGTATTGGCATAACCACTAGCTTACTGATTTACGTTTTCATTATGTGCTGCGTGATACTGTTCAGAAAAGTTAAACATCCGGTAAACTCTCGCAACTGCAGCTTAAGATGAGTCTGAACGAGCGCAAAAGACTGCACTCTATTAAATCATTCATATACGACTGTCAATATTTTATATTGACAGTTACTCTATTATTCTATTGGGATCTGAGTTATGGATCCATTTATAAATAAATCCTAAGTATGGAGCGATGTCCTGAGCACTATTAAGAGTGATAATTATCGGTTTTCCACCGTTGTGTGCATGAAGTTTATCATTTAATCCCTCCAACCCGGTGTCTGAGACTAGGCAAAAGAAACCAGAACATTATAGTGGGGAAGGGAGAAATCGATTAGACAAATAAGCCGCAGTTACCCTTGTATAGACGAACTCTTGAGTTTCTCTTTGACCGTGACAATTAGTCATCACGATTGTGCGCCAATCATCGGCCACTGTCCAGCACATTTTGTCGCGCCGAATTTCGTTTCCTTGTGACAGAAACCAAAACTGCGGTTGGGATGTTTTTTTGTTGAGTGGAGATGGGAAAAACAGAGAAGCAAGTAGGAAGTGTGGTTATACATCTAGATAGTTATATACCTACTTTCTCTAGAGAAATTTATTCTTCGTTTCTTTCTATTAACTTTGAAAACTCGGTTGTAGACATAGCAGTATTCACGTGTAGAGAATAAACATAACAAATCATTAAAATTCTTCTTCATTTCGCCTTTTTGCGCAACTTTCTTCTACGCCGTACTTAATAAGCTGCGTAAAATTGCATAAGAAAAAGATGTACCACCACGGAAATCTAATTCAATCCTGTAGTTCAACAAGAAGAATGCGGTGAATGTGTAAGAAATCTTTCCGATCAAAACTGTTTAATTTGGACAAAACAAAAATAAAATAAATTTTAACCCTGTTTACTGGCTGAAAATTAAACAACCAGCCACACCCGGTAGATTGTTGGATTACCTCCGCTTCCACATGCAAAACTATCAGCATTTTTGATGGCAAACAAATGAAAGCCGAAAGATCAAACTCCAATTTAACGAAAATAGGTAAAAAGAAACAGAATTTTCTTCGCGACAAAAACATCACACCTCCCTTCAACTCTGCCAATTAAAGTCACTTTGTTGCTCAGTATGAAATTTCGATTCAGGTCTATGTCGATATTATTCCACTCCATAATCAACAATGCCTTTAATTGGTGTTTTTGGTGGAAACTGTGAGTTGTTGGGGAGCATTTTGGGCATGTGAAGATCAAGTGTTCTCTATTTGGTTCAAATATGGGCTACACGCAGATCACACCATTGTTTTGATGCCACCAAATGATAACCAGTATTTTGTTAGATACGAGTAATGAACTGCGGCTGTGTCCTGCTGGAAAATGGCTTCAGACAGATTATCCGATTCTACCGCAAGCAAAGGTGCCACTCTAGTGCATCGAATCTTGAACCTCGAGCATTAAAGCAACTTGAGTCGGGTCCCTTTTTGATAAGGCAAATCGTACTATCACGGATCATCAATCCGCTTTCTTCCACCGATCACACCAGGGGTTCCACGGGTCCGATCCATCTAAATTGAATTCGTTTTTGTCGCTAATGTAAACGAAATTTCATTTCTCCAAATTACATGATTTTAAGTTCGCAATAAAAGCCTCTCTGTTTGTGAAGTCGCTCAAGTTATGTGTCTTTGCGTTTCCTCCTATTTTCCATTATAAACTTTTCAAGTGTTTGTTCTACACTTCACACCAAAAGCTTTAATTAAATCACCGTTTGCCTCTTCAATGCATGACTTACTGAGTTTTAGGTCATACGTAGCAATCTGCTTTTACGTTTCTCCGAGGGCTTTGTCTGCTGCCTAATCTGTTTATGATCGATTTTTGACTGTTTCCGCTTCAAATAACGCGCCAAAATGCTATCGGAACATGGTTTGGCTATTTTATGTGTACTAACATTGATCTGACAAAAGACATCAATCTTTGAGTTCGTCTTATCAGTAGGCTTCTTTCATCACTCCACAGATGGTACTGTCTTGTACTGACTTACTTGGATGTCTTTGTTCTTTCAAGGTCATTGGGAGTGACGTGAACATGGCGGTATCTTACACCAGTCTGTCAACCACGGCCTCACCACGGTTACCAGTTGCCGGGACCAAGCAAAACCTCGGGATGCCTATCGCATTAGTTGCAAAAACGAGTCAGATGTGCGAATTCTGATGCAATTCTTTTGTTGAAATGGAAATTCGGTTTCTTTTTCAATGAATTTTCGTTAAAATTGAAGATAATTTGGTGGAATTTGGTATTTTGCCTCTTCATTTGGTTGCCGTTGAAATTCTTGAAAAATACTGATGAACACGCATGTGGAAGCTGAGATAATCCAAAAATCTAGAGAGGTGTATGTGCAACCTTTTTGTCGCTAGTTTTATTTCAGTAGGAGAGCGGCAAAGTAACCAAAGATGTGATTAACAGAACAAGATGAAGTGAGACATCCTTGATGGGGTTCAAAACCTCGGTTCCTGAGAGATGTGACGGTGTCTAACATCGCTTGATCACTACAAAAATGCACCAACTTAGAAAAGTGCCATACAAATGTTCCATTGGTAAAAAGCTCATTGCTTCAGAGTGAAAAATATAAAAGAAGACTGGCCTTCAATATTTAGCATTTTTCCAGTGGATATTATTTACCGTGACCGTTGGTTGTCAAGTAACCTCAACCATCATAACACCACCTTAGAGCTCCATATTTCAATGCTTCTACCGCCCAATTTTTCGTAAAATTTGGTGGCTGGCTGTCTCCCTTTACTGATGTATGACTTCAGAATTGTCTGCTCAATAAAAGTAGTAACGGAAGCAACAAATAACTGTTACAAATTTATCCCTATAATCAACAATACAAAATGGTTGACAATAATTCTGGCCACATTTCAATGGAAATGATATGTAGCTAGTTTTCAACATCCCAAATCTGTCCGCGGGCAACACAGTTTGCCCAACCAATGGCGATACACGATTTAGATTAATTGATGTAACAAAAGTTTCGTCAAATAAAACTAAATACATATCAAATGAATGCCATAACTGGGAAGAAAGGAGACTATTGTATGATATACACATCTTTATGTATGTCGGAATGAAAGCAAGTCAATTAGCTTCGCTTTAGTGATTTGCAATTTTAGGGAACAAAAGTAGTTTCTTCAGTGAAAAGCAGATGGTTATGTAGTGGAAAACAATTGTCTTCGAGAACTCTAAATTTGCGATATAATTTCCTGCCCAACAAGAACAAAATTGTTTCAGGCAAATACTTTTGTTTTTCTTGACATAAACGCGACAGTTCCGTGAAGGAATGCTAATAATTCACATTTAGTTCTTGGTGTTATATAATCAGATAAATTGTTAACAATGATCTTCAAACTCTGTCATTTATGGCTTTTAATCCTTGAATTACTTGAAATTACTCATTTTGGACTATCATTGTCACACTCCTGTTTTCCTGGAATCAAAGTGTTCTCTTCTAATCGGACAGGTTTTACTAGAGCCGAATGGGAGACTCACTTGATGTCCACCGCGCTTGTGACATGGGTATGGCTGAATGAGGTGAAGATCCTTTCGATTAATGTCTGATGAGGCATCCGCACAAAAAGGAAAGGCGTAACTTTCAATCTGATTGGAGTAGAGAGAGAAAAGATCAACATCACTTGGGATTTACACCATCTGTCATGATTACATGGGTGAGAGATGGATGAGGTTACAACTGGACTCATGAATGTGCAATAAGGAAACACCGGTAGACTGATCATGCGCAGGACGGACAATGTGAAATGAAGTCTGCTGTAAGATGGTCTACCCAATGCGCGCGCGTGTGTATCTGTGTACTTCACACACGTCTAAATCCTTAGTGTGCCAAACAATTCATAGTTTAAAAGTCTTTCTATAAAGAAAAATTTCCATGATTTGCATGCGAGCGAAATACCGCCAAGTTGCCCCGTATAAGGCAGAAGTCCAGAAATCAGAAATAATTTTCTTAGGAAACAATACACAAGATACTGATAGTCCTTTAAAATTGCATTTTGCTCAAATAATCATGCATTATTTTCATGAGAGAATCATTCTGACTATAGGATGTGTAGAATTAAGCACATCCTGTCATCATGGTGCTCATTCCTGCTCTCATGGAAATGTTAAAGGGAATTGGTTGCATGAAACCATGTAATACTTCACAATATTTCAGCAACAGTTTACCAGCCTCTACACAATGAAACCCAATCCGCATCGTACTTACATCTCCGGATGCTTGTGCTTTCGATGGAACAAATAGTTCCGGAAAAATGTTATCCAAGTACCATTTGAATGAATGACACTTCAAACGATCACGGATTTCTCTGCGATCGGATACGTTTCCATAATCGCCCTGAGAATGAAAACAGAAATGTCATTATACGGTGAATCGACAAATTTCTGAATCCAATAAATGGTTTCATTTTTCAAAAGCATCTTAAAATCAAATAAGCATCAACTTTTGAAGTCATGATTACTACACTAGAATATTTCACACTGTTGATTCCAACTCTTCGAGTTCTATCAAATGTTTGGTCAGAAATGCTATGCAAATCAATCTTGGGGAATGGCATTCATACTATGTTGTTACTTTATTGGCACTATGCATAGAAAATGGAGGCATCGTGGGCCGTAGCAAAGAGTGAAGAAATTCACGATGGAACGATATAATCGTATTGATATTTCCGCAAGTAACTGAGAGCCCTGACTTAAATATCAGTTTGTAGACTAACAGAAAATGTGGGCAAGTTGTTGTTAATTTGTCATTAGTTTTTAGAGATGTAAATGCCCGGCTGGAGGATAGCTTGAGGTTAGCACAGGTGTATGATGGACAACCAAGAGCACTGGACACCCGTCGTGTCCCTGTTGAAACTCATCAGCAATGTGCATTTTTTCACATTTTTGTAGAGATTCGAACCACGCGAACCCGTGTGTTCATTATGTGGTAAATAAACTGAATGTATTCTACAGCTCCAAAACCAAACAAATCTACGTGCTGCATCTTAATTTGATAGATAATAGTGGCAACCNGTTCCATTGCAGCGTTTAGTGCATAGGGATATAAATTGGAACCGCTAATGTAACTCTTTCTGCAGCCTTATGCTGCTTACAGTAAAAAGACATTTGGTTCTCTATCTAGCACTAGAAAACATTAATCAAAGACTTCAAATAGGAAACACTCCGGTTACTGAAATCGATCTTCACTCGCATTTGGTGTCCTGGAACGTCTATCACTTAACAAGATAGCCCAGTTAAGTTTAGATTTTCGAAGACGACAGTTCAAAAAAGTCGATTTACAATACCTCGTCGTTTCAGGTGGAAAAATTAGTAGAGGTAACACAAAGGAGAATGAAACACACGTATAAACACCGCCCACACTTTTGTGCATCGCATCCACTATCAGTTGATTCACCAAGCTTTTACCTGTGTGATCTACCAACAAACATAATTTAAATATAAAACTCAGCATTCGTAGCTCGATCAGGGATTGTAGTAGATGCTAATCCAAAACCTTACATGGCTAGCAGCCTACATGTTACTAGGTGGATCCCTTTGCAAGTTTGGTGGATGATCAAAAGTTAAACTGATCAGCGACTTCCATGTAGCCTCATAGTTCATGTTTGTAGAGCATACGATGAACAAAAGTGGAAATAGCCTAAATTCGTACGTGAAAGCTTTCCAAGCCAACTGGTTGTTACCCACTGTAAACATATAGCTTTATTCCTCCAATATCTGCAAAGGAGCCGATCTGATACAATAATTAGGGCCTGCCGTGTAGCGAAGCTAAATATTTTATTCGCGTTTAAGTCCATGATAATTACAGCCGGAAAATTAAATGTCTGAATCAGCTACCGTTTCTTTCATTGTATACTCATTTACTTATTCCTTTGAAGCAAATTAAGTACGTCACATGTCGAACAGATTTGTGAACACCACCATCCATGATCGAACCCCGGGTAGTGCAGTGGGTTCACACCTAACTGTAACAAATCACATTGTCAACATGACCGAGGCATTCCCCCTGAGCACGGTTCGCGGTTGACTGTCATACAGTTTCATCGTCATGTGCTATTCACAATGGAGGCAACAGGATTTCTTCTGCTCAACGTTCACCCATGTGTGGATAAAACAATTTATGCACATCCCGAGGAATACCGACAATCGATAGAATGAACGAATAACTATGCAATCATTGTAAAAGCACGCAACAATAAGTAGACATGTATTCATTAATTAATTAGGTCTTATGAGAACGCGAAATTTCTAACTTTACACTACAGATCTTTCGTAAGTTTGCTGTTGCACCTAGGGACACTGACATTCTCGATCATGAAAGTTCTACTTGTGAGTGGTAAGGACAGTTCGGTAAACTAAATTAAGGATCATACATCGACGACTCACCAGTTGATATTGGAATCGCTCGTAGAAAAAGTTTCGATATTCGTCCAGCCAAACCTCAGCCATTCGGACCATGTTTCTTCGCAATGGCATATCTGAACTGGTCTCCGACATGTAGGGATTGCGTGTGCGAAATACGTGACCAATATGACTACAAACGACAATCTCCAAAGTGCCACCACACATCCATGTCTATCCCACCCGATCCGGATAGGAAACGGTACATGATGAAAAGAAATGCAATACGAGTACAACTACATTCCAAATTAAAATAAACGGTTGACACCAATTCAAGCATTAAAATTATATTTATTTTGTACTTGTTCAATGATTTATCAGTAAAAAGTGTCTTCTACTTCCTATTCTGTCTGTCTTTTTTCAAATTCAATAGCCATCCATATCTTATAAACGATATATGAAAGGTCTTCTCCATCTCCCCTAAATTATTAGTATTTATTAGCACACAATTTCCTCAAAGTATTCTTTATATAACCATAATGATAACAGACAATAAAAAGTCCCATACCACATACGATATATTTTCCGGGAGCTATCTTCATCGGTTTTCGATCAATGAAGAACTCTTGAAAATGTGCGGAGCATCCTAATTTTTTTTAAAGTATCACACGTACAGAAGCATAAAATCTACAGGGAGTCAAATCAGAGCGTCGAGGATTTCTGTTCCAATGGGCTACCAGACATGCGTGACCTCCAATGAGTAGCTAAACTTTAACCCAAAGCATCTGGAAGCTCATCTGTCGCTATCGATGGATGTGATAAATTTTTCAGATATAAGGAATCATCTTGACAACCTAGCGGTCCCCGCACTATTCCATCCAACACAATTGTTCATTATTTCCACTTTTTAGGATAACTGCCTTTGTTTTCACAAACGAGCAACAGAGTATCTGTTCTATGAAGACCTATAAATTACGTTACTTGTACATACAATAAGTAAAAGATATTGATATGCCTTCTCTACAACCCTATTTTGTTTCTCTACAAACTGCACAGTTTCCTATCTCAATTTCCCCATACACCGAGCTAACGAGACGTGAACTAGAAGATAAGTCGGCTATGCTCAGCTGTGCTAACCGTTTTAGATTTCCCTATCATAAGAACACGAATTCGCTCCGTGGGACTGTTTAAACATCTGCTCATCACTCAGGTTCGCAATATTTTCGGTCAGGCCATAACCCTGAACGTTATTAATTGGTTTATCCAGGTGGGATCCTTGCAACATACTAACAAGAGTAAGTTACGTTACATCTCACAGTGGCTATGCAAAACAGCCTGAGGAAACGACCTGTGATCAAATGGACGGTATTTTCGTCTTCCGTCTGTGACCTACGGGGTTCGATCTTCAGTTTGGTAAATGTACGAAACCGCTTTAAGGTGCTTTCTAGCTTCTTAATGAATGTTTCATTCACTCTGTGTATGTAACAAAACGCATCACGGAATCGAAACTTAATCCTCCTTCGCTTCACTCTATAAGTTTTTAAAATAACTAAATATTATTGTTGTTGGATTCTATAGACACTTCTTCAATAGAAATTTCTTAAAAATTTTCATTTGCCTTGAATCAAATTTTCAGCCACCTTTAAGCATTTGATTAAACGTTCGTAGCTCCATATAATTACTTACTTTAAAAGAAATCTCCAAATTTTCGCCACCCCAAACCTCCATGCCCGGATCGTAGTAGCCCAGTTTGGCAAAGAAATCTCGATGAATGGAAAACAGTCCTCCAGCAATTGTGGGAGTTCTGCATTGGGCGATGAGAGCGATAAGTTGTGAGTTGGGGATACGTGCTCGTCAAAGGGATATCGAGTCGTACTTCGTGTCAAAGCACATAAAAACGTCCGAACTGAATTTGAACAATCTCATCAGGTCAGTCATAGTAGTTTTCACCAAAATACAACAGCGAATTAAGACCAATCGACGAAGCAGTTTTTGAATACATAATCTAAAAACAGGTTTGCATAATGTATCCTGGATCATTTCGCTGCGCCTGTTCACTTGCATAGTGCATCTTTTGTCATCACAAACATATGGTCAGAAATGAAGGAAACATAAGCTGAGAAAGATTGCGGTCAAAATCATCTACCAGTCACACTTGTTACACAGAAAGCGCCAGAGTGATACGTCTTTCATCGTGTTCACACAGTTGAGGATGGCAGTTTTGAACGGCTGGTACCTCGAAGTACTTCTGATCACAATAATGAACACAAACTGCAGTATGCTCATCTATAGATGCAATAAAATGATCCAGGATACATTGTTTACACTTGTGTTTCGGCTTCTCTATTGAAATTCGTTAGGGGGAAACTGTGCCTCTAATTTCTTAAACGAAGCCGTTTGTAATTATTTTGCAATATCACCCCGGGGATGTTTGCTCTAATCCCAATACCATCGCCTGGCTTTCCCCATTATGTTGAATGGCAGTCCTTGGATTATCCGATTCTCCCTTCCTGAAAATTGTATTTTTGTATATTCAATAGAAAGAAAGTAAAAATGGAAATAATGAAAGGAAAAAGAAAAGAAAGATAATTATCACCGCGCCTTTGATTTCGATATGGTCGGCTGGCAGTCAGCTTAGGGAAATGCAGGAACAATAACTTAAAAGCGATAAGCCTAAAGGTTGAGTTCCAATAGCTTAAATAAATTTATCAGCTCTAAACAACTCCAAAATTATGAAACCAGTTGATCAACCTGTTTTTGTTAACCTCGTTGCCCTCCTCTAACCCTCTCACCCACTCACTCTGTATTCCACTAAGGATCAGGGTAAACTCACAAACTCTCAAGGTCATCCGAGAGTATATTGTTTGAGGCAGCACTATCAATTTAAAGTGTATTTCCAGAAAATATGATGACTAATATCTCCGCTTGTTTTTCGATCAGTTTACCCTTGTTGAATGGATATGCATGTGAGTGTTCATGAAACATGCAGGTACTCAATCACAAAATAATATCGAGATACCCATCACTATGGATTTTCTTTCATAGTCCTTACATAGTCCTCAACTGATTGATCAAATCATCTCAGTTGCTACTGCTCTCCAATCTACGCAGAATACTCATCAACTTAGTTCTGCATCATTTTAATGTATAATGCAACTGAAAGGGAGGGACAAGAGATTGGTGGCCGACATAAGCAGGAACTAATGTCAACATCCGATTCCGCTTGGACTCGTTTGATCTGACCGAGAATTGATTTGGTAAGTGATTTCACCTTAATATTATGGACCATAAATACAGCTGTTTTCATCTTTGTTCGGATTCAAATGCAATTTCTAGCGTGACTCGAAATGTAAAGCTTCGCGTTGCAAGTCAGATCCCCCTCTCCTCGGTTACGACGTCAGTGGCCAGTACTTTCGTGGCATCCTACTGATAATCATATGCTAAAATTAATAAGACAATACACAGCTACAATCATTTGACAATTTGTATGAAATAAGCAATAACACATTTTGCTTTGTAGGATTTCTACATAATCTGTCTACTTTCAGCCGAGCCTGAATGAACTAATTTGTCGAAGCCCCTGCCTTTTTGGGTGATGAGCAAAAAAAGCGAACTGGGAAACTA